ACAAGATCTGGAATAGAAAAGTAATGGCTTTCTGTAGCATCTAGTACAGCAGGCCACAGTACTGCTTCCTTCTGCCTCTCCATTGCACACCCATCAGTACCATGGAGTTCCATGTGAAATTGGCCTGCTTGAAACTCACAATAAAAATTGCCTTTTCAAGCTATTCTATACCCTTCACTATATATGATATTAATCTTGCAAAATCTGCCTTGTTGAACAGCAGTCATCTCTCTGGCCTGGGAGCCTTTGGTCATGAAGGAGGCAGTGCCTGCAACCCAGCAGAAATGGGAGACTTGGCCAATGGTAAGACTGTAGTCAGGGAGATCTAAAGAAAAGGTCACTTAATGACATGTCTGCTGGTCAGTTAAAGCTTACAGATACATATTACAACTGCACCGGCAGCGTTTCATGTTCACTGTCTTCTTCTAGGTGAAAACAGCACATATACAGCTTCGAGCAAGGCATAATGTTTAGCTCCATTTGCTATGATTGATCATTCCTTCCAAAACTGGATTATGCATTTCCCTACATTCTTAAAATGAAATTTACTGATTATCATTTTATCTCTCTTAATTAATCACAGTCATCCTTTTGACACACAAGCTGTACAATCATGGAGAAATGTCTGCAGGGGTTACTTGATGTGCAGAGTTGCCTGCCCTGACACAGAATGGCTGCAGGCTGCTATGTTTTTTTCACTTCCCATATACTTCTTAAAATTGTTTATCTCTCTCCTCCCTTGTTGTCAAGCTGTCACTCAGCTGTCACTTGTAACTGCTGTCAGTGAGCCTGCCTTTATCACACCTCCAATTCAATGCTGCTAATCTGTTGTCAGCTAAAAAGTCAGATAATCGAGACCTCTGAAATTGCATTTAAACATAAGTGGTGAGCTGAGCACTGATGAACATTTTGAGATATGAGTTCTAGTTCCTTGCTGTGCTTACATTTGGCTGTGTGATTGTTAGAAGACACATAACTTCTCTGGGCCTTGGTGCCTTCATCCATAGAATGAGAAGCAGGGTATGTGTGTGGGTGTGTGGTTGTGTGTGTGGTGTGTGTGTGTGGTTGTGTGTGTGTGTGTGTGTGTGTGTGTGAGAGAGAGAGAGAGAGAGAGAGAGAGAGAGAGAGGAAGAGAGAGACCTTACCCAGATTGGAAACCTACCAGAAGAAAACACACAAAACTTTAACGTGAGTTAACAGAATGCAGGATGGATGCCACTGACCCTTTAACTGTCAAATTAAAGGACACAGGACACTTTTGGTTATCACCTTCCTTAAGGCCTCTACTCTGATCTCACTAGTGATCATCTTTCACAGGATAATTCTCGCTGTTGACCCCCTGACTCTTACCTTTTCATTTCAGTCACAGGCTCTTCCTGCATCAACTCCTCAAGTGTCAAGTGTACCCAACGTGGCCAATGTTAAAAGGTCATGGTGATTATGGGGGACCAACAGCAAGGCCTGAGAAGCAATGACCTGTGTGAAAATCAGGGCACTGTGTGTCCTACAAACCAAGTGAAGAAGGTGTTACCATGTGTTAACTGTTGCTGACATGTTAAGATGAGTACTAATAATTGACCACAGGACTTAGGGGCCTGGAAATCACTGGTGACCTTGACAAAAACAGCTGCGGGGGAACAGACTTGAGAACTGGAGTGATGACATTGAAAGCAGCAAATATAAACAACTTTTTCAAGAGGTTTTGCTAGTAAGAGGAAAGAGTCACAGAATCAAGAAGTAGAGTCAAGAGCAGTTTTTTCATTTTAATATGTAAGAAACAACAGCATTTTTTGTACGCTAAGAGGAATGATTCAAAGAAAAATAGGAATGATTCAGAAGACAAGAAAATTGGTACTGCAGAATAGAGAGAAAACCAGTTACTCATTCAGCACATGAGTAGGATGAGTTCTGACAAAAACGTGGAGATGGGTCTTTGATACAAGGGAGGTCAGGCGGCTCACAATGACCACTGTAATTGTAGAAAATACACAGCCAGAAATGGGTGTGATGTTGCGGGGGCAATGTAGTGGTGTCAACAGAGAAAGTTCTCTTCCGATTGATTCTATTTCCCAGTTAATAGCTGAGAATGAAGACAGAAGATTTGGTATTGGGGATTTCTAAAGAAAGGAAAAGACTTGATTAGTTATCCTATGCAGAGGAGGGAAGGAAAATGCAACATGTTTGCCAGGTAGCTCAAAGGGCCTATGTGAATTTATAAGTCATGAACATAGAGGATGATAATAAATATGGTTGGCTGTGGAACACAGAAGTTATGATGGATAAATAAAGTAGAAACAGGGTAAGAGTGAAGTTCCTATTTATCCAAGAGTGAAGAAGTTGACTCTAACAGTGGGTGATGGGATCTGGTGGAGCTGAGTGATTACTTGAAATGGGGCAATAAAATAAAAAACAATTTTAATGCATATTACACTGACTCTTTGGTAGAAGAATTTTTAATTTTCATATGTTGATTATGGAAATGTGGGAGGTGGAATGGATACAGTACTCTATGTTCAGTTGACAGAAAAAGTGATCATTTATAAATTAATGGGGGTGGAGGAGATAGTAAAATCATCTTTCATTAGGGATGTGCTATATGTCAGATACTATACTAGGTATTAGTCCTGCATTATTTCATTTAATCACTACATCATCCTGATGTAATGACAAGATAAATATAATCATATCCATTAAAGAACTTGCAGGTTCAGAGTCAATCCACTGCCACAGGTCACTCAGCTAAGTTGTGGTCAAGACTCAAATACACATGTATATTAGTACATTGTTTAAGAGTTTCCCCTCCCTAAGAGTTTATGCAGATGATGAAATATTTTCAAGGGAACGTTTACTGTCTCTTCCTTTTTTTTTTTTTTTTGTGTTTGGGAGTGACAAACTAGACACTGAATAGGGTGCTAGGTATCAGCAGGTGCCGCAAGTCCAATATGACTGAAAGCCTAGGTGACAGACATGCCTTGAGTTTCAAAAGAGACCACCTCTTTAAATCCTAATTTTGCTGAACATATGGCTATTTTCCCTCGCAGACTAGTATATGTTATGTCATATAGCATATAGCACATTATATTACTACTTTAGCTGTATCCTCTCCTTTATTTTTATTTAAATTTGTTTTTGTCATGACCACATATTTGTACAGGGAGAAAGATTCAAAGGTTTCTTTTTAATCACCTCTTGTTATTTTGCCTTTGGAATCAGTAAATATTTTTTCAACATCTCAACAAAATAATACGCTTTTAAAACTGCAGGCATTAGAATGATTGTCACTCATGCAAATAATCACTTACTTACACTATATGAGTTTGGGTTGTAGAAAGCAAATTACCATTTGAAAATAATTCAAATAACACTCTGGGCTAAGACCTTGCTTATGAATGTTATCTTGCCCACAATATTTCTTAACCTTCTTCTATTTAGCTAGATTCCTTTATGGTAATATGGTTCAAATTAATAAAACATTCAACTGCCACAGGTGTATTAAAGATAGGATGCTGTAGGAACATATCAGATACAAATGAATTTTAAAATGTTGTTTATTTGGAATACTGTAACAGTAGCAATTAAGATGAGCTACAACCACCTCCTCACTTAAAGATGTGCATTTTGCCTGTATATTACAAAAAAAAGCAATTTACAGAAAACGTAAGGTTCTTATTTTTGAAGTTTAGATAGAACAAAAGCATAACAACTACATTTTTTAAAAGCTGAAATTCTATCCGCATACATAAGAAAACTATATTCCTACAAATAGATATTCTATATACATGCAAGCATTTATGTTTTGAACGTATCACCTATAATGAAAGAAAGCTTGAACAGCACATTGAAATTTGAATTAGAAGTCACAGGGCCTAAAACTTAATCCAGTCTGTGGCAATGACAGGGTAAATGCAAGCCAGTCTCAAATGCTCTGGGCCTCTGTTTTCTGCACTCCATAAAGTAAGGAATGGGCAAGGTGGTCTAACTTTAATTTTATGACTCACTAACTTGATTTGGTACAGGGCAGATTTTTCTTCAGTGAAATATTAACTAGTAAGACATTCAAATAAATCACCATTAGGAGTGCGGATGAGGACTACTGTCCCTACAGCAAAGTCTGGGTGACCTCAGTAAGTGCAGTACACAGACTTATGCTGACCTGCACAGCATGTATGGATGTTAAATCATTTCCTGCCTTCATTTCAGGGCTGAGAAAGGAACAGCTGTTCCCAAAATCATTTTAAGGATGCAGTCAGTAACAAAACAGCAGCATCCCCAGCTCATCTGAGTCCCACTGAAGTAAACTTTCTACTCGCAAGGGAGAAATATTACTAGTGGTAGTAAAAATAGTTTTGTTGGGTTCAACCAAGAGTGAAAAGGAATCTCAGAATGTTCCCTTAGAGCCATATCATCTGCTGCTAATTCAGGGTGATCACAAAAACAAAGATAATAAAAATGTCCTTAAGTAACCGAGAAAGAGAAAAAGCAATTAAGTAGGTTTTGATTCCAATAAGGAATAATAATCTTTATTAAGAGTACCAATAATGAGAAAAATAGGAGAAAATATAAAAAAAAAGAGTGTAGACAGTGACAGTAAACCAAGCAGTGAGATTTAATATTGATTTCCTTAGAACAGTAACCATTACATATGCAAACCAATGGGCAAAACTGAAGGCAAAGATGCAGCGATACCTTTGAAAATAACTTCCATAACCAAACAACAAACAAAACAGTTATGTATTAAAATCCTTGATAGCTTGCTTTCTTGATCAATTAAATAAGAGGAAAGAAGGGAAGAACACAATATCTGAACTAACCATTCAATGAAAGGGTGCACATATGACTATTTAGAATCTGTGCAAATCACAGCATGGTGAGATAGACCTCAATGCTCTAATGAACCATGTTTTTGCTGGAAAGTTAAAATTAGCAAGAAAAACACCAATTTTATACATTTGAGAGGTGATTTATGATACAATATTAAGAAAATAGTCAAACAAACTGACCTGCTCACATCAGGGAACCTGATGGGAAAGTAAATAACTTGGCACTTGGGTCTAATGATGCTTTCCAAATCCTTGGGTCTGTGGTCAGGAATCAGCTTCATAAATTTTCCAATAGAATTCAGAAATGATTCCATATTAAAAACTGAATTGAACACCACCACATCAGCCACAAGACTGTCAAGAAAAATAATCAATGCAAATAATGAGCCTAGATTCATTTAGAGTTAATTGTAATAAGCCTCAAAATTCTGTTTAGAAGCCAGCATTGTAGTGCAAGTCACTACTTGGGAATCCCACTTGCCACACTGAAGTGTCAGTTTGAGTCCTGGCTACTTTTTCTGCCAGTCTAGGTTCCTGTCAATGCTCCTGGGAGACAGCAGGATGATAAAACATGCATTTGGGTTCCTGCCATCCATGGGGCAGACTTGGATAGAGTTCCTGGCTCTTGGGTTAACTTGGGCTAGCTCTCCCTGTTGCAGGCATCCAGCAAGTGAACCACTGGATGTAAGGTATCTTTCTATATGTCTCTCTCTCCCTCCACCAATCTGCCTTTTAAATCAAACATTTTTTTTCTTTACAAAAAACCTGTGTGCAAAGAATTCTACACTTCCCATCAGTATCTATCAAGTTCTCTAGGAAATAAGTTTCATTGCCATGTTATCATATCACAAGAAGTTTGATAGCTGGCACCAACAAGGAAAGAAAATAGGAAAATTAAGTTACTAATAGGATCACATGATACCTCAAAATTGTTCCACAATGTTGGGAACTTTCTATATTATCAACAACATTAAGTACAGTAAGACCTTTTTTCTTTTTTGGACCAATTACAGTTGTTGAGTTTCTATGTCAGCGAGATAAACCATTTTATACTGTATTACTGGGAATATTCAGAACTTCTGACTAACTTTAAGGAGACTAACTCAGGTAATGTTATTTTAATACAAGGGCATGATATCTTCAATGCTATTTAGTTGCTTATATTTCATTCTTTAGTCCTTATTCAATAAACCATGTTGGGTTTTTAAAAGTTCTACTACAAGAAGTACTAAACAGGAAGGATTATCGTGTACTGTTTAAATAGCTAATTCCACTATTACATTATCTTTGTGGTAGTCAGAGAAGCAGGATTATTAATGGAAATGGAACCAGAAATCCATTTTATGAGGTCATACTGATTATATAAAGGAATATATTACAAAGGATCACATGCCATGGACCTTAAACTAAATGTAATACTGTCTATTGTAGTCAATGAATAGACTGAGTTCTTGGCCTTTTTAAAAAATTAATTTTACTTAGTTTTTAACAGATTCATTGTGATTTGTAGATACAGTTCTATGAATATGATATTCTCTGCCTCCCTCTCCACATTCCCCACTCTCTTTCCTTCTGACTTTATTTTAGTGTTTAAGATAACATATTTTAAAATTGATACACCATTGGCCCAACTAACCAAAAAGAGAAAGAGAGAGAGAGAATCAAATCATTAAAACAGAGATGAGAAAGAAAATGTAATAACACATACCACAGAAATAAAAATAATCATTAGGAATAATTACAAAGAGCTATATGCTAACAAAAGGGAAACCTAGAAGGCCTGGATAGATTCCTAGACACATTAAATCTATGGAAATTGAGTCATGAAGACATAGAAAACCTAAACAGACCAATAACCAGGATGGAAATAGAATCAGTAATAAATATCCTCCCACCAAAGAAAAGCCCAGAATCAGATGGGTACATTGCAGAGTTCTACAAACATTTAAAGAAGAACTAATTTCTTCTCAAGCTATTCAAAACAACTGAAATGGAGGGAATCTTCCCAACACCTTCTATGAAGTCTGCATCACCTTAAAGAGAACTATAAACCAATATCCCTGATGAAGATATATGTAAAAATCCTCAACAAAATATTAGCTAATGAATTCCAACAACACATCAGAAAGATCATCCACCCTGACCCAATGGAATCCCTGGTATGCAGGGATGGTTCAACATTCACAAATCAATCAATGTGATACACCACATTAATAAATTGAGGAACTAAAACCACATGGTTATCTCAATAAATTCAGAGAAAGCATTTGATAAAACACAACATCCTTTCATGATGAAAACCATAATCAAATTGGATATAGAAGGAACAGTCCTCAACACAATCAAAGCAATTTATGACCAACCCACAGCCAGCATCCCAGTGAATGGGGAAAAGCTGGAAGCATTCCCCCTAAGATCCGGAACCAGACAAGGATGCCCACTTTCACCCTTGTTATTTAGTATAGGCCTGGAAGTTTCAGCCAGAGCAATTAGGCAAGAAAAAGAAATCAAAGGGACACAAATATTTAATTTTTTTGTTGCTCTCGTGAATAAAATTTGTTGATTTCTCTTTTTGTGAGTTCATCATTAGCATAAAAAAGCTACCTTTTCTGTGTTTATTTTGTAACCTGCAACTTTACTGAATTGGTTTATTAATTCTAAGAGCTATTTGGTGGAGAGTTTAGGTTTTTCCATGTACAACATCATGTCATCTGCAAACAGGGATAGACTGACTTCCTCTTTTCCAATTTTGATGTCCTTCATTTCCTTCTCTTCCCTAATTGCTCTTACTAAAACTTCTAGTACTATATTTAATAACAGTGATGAAAGTAGACATCCTTATCTTGTCCCAGACCTGAGGGGAAATGCTGTTAGTTTTCCTCCATTCAATACAATATCGGCTGTTGATTTTTGATATATAGCCTTCATAATTTTGAAGAATGGTCTTCTATACCTAATTTGTGGAGGGCTTTTTATCATGAAGGGTACTGAATCTTATCAAATGCTTTCTGTATATCTATTGAGATGACCATATTGTTTTTATGCTTCATTCTATTGATGTGAATTATGATGTTTACAAATTTGCAAATGTTGAACCACGCTTGCATTTCTGGGATAGTCACACTTGATCACGATGTATGATTTTTTATGTGATTCTGGATTCAATTTTACTGGTACTTTGTTGAGAATCCTTGCATCTATGTTCATGAAGATATAGCTCAGTAGTTTTCTTTCTGCACCATTTCTATGTTTGGTTTTGCTATCATGGTAATGCTGGCCTCATATAGAGTTTGGAAGAATTCCATCCTGTTGAATATTTTGGAATAGTTTGAAGAGTACTGGAGTTACTTCCTCTTTGAATGCTTTGTACATTTCCTTGATGGAAGACTTTTGATTACAGCTTCAATCTCATTGCTGGTATGGGTCTGTTTAGACTGTCTATATCTTCTTCATTTCACCTTGATAGGTTATATGAATCCATGAATTTATTCATTTCTTCAAGGTTTTATAGTTTATTAGCATATAGTTCTTCATAGTAGTTTTTTATGATGCTTTGTATTTTAGTGGTGTCAGCTGTAATGTTGTCTTTTTCATCTCTAATTTTATTTATTTGATTTTTTTCTTTGTTAGTCTGGCTATTTTGTTTATCTTGTTCTTAACATTTAAATATATTAATATAAGGAAATGTGAAAGCAACGTTGATGGGACATGGACAAGCCAAGAGTTTTTTTTTTTAACTTTTATTTAATAAATATAAATTTCCAAAGTACAGCTTTTGGATTACAGTGGCCTTTTCCCCCCTATAACCTCCCTCCCACCCGCAACCCTCCCATCTCCCACTCCCTCTCCCACACAGAAATAAAAAGAGCCATCAGAAATTACTACAAAGAGTTGTATGCCAGCAAACAGGGAAATCTATCAGAAATGGATAGATTCCTGGACACATGCAACCTACCTAAATTGAACCATTAAAACATAGAAAACCTAAACAAGCAAAGAGTTTTCAGGATTGCCTCTAACATTTTCCCAAGAAAATGAACACCAATCATAACCATGAATGAGCTGGGTAAATCTTGAATGTGTAGTAGGAGCCTTTTACGAATCAAAAATTGATTAAATACATATATTTTTTTAAAAAACTAATTTTATTTATTTGAAAGACAGGATTAGAGAGAGAAGTAGAGTCAGAGAGAGAGAGAGGTCTTCCATCTGGTGGTTCACTCCCCAAATGACCACAACAACCAGAGCTGAGCTGAACTGAAGCTAGGAGCCTGGAGCTTCTTCTGGGTCTCCCAAGTGGGTTCAGGGGCTCGAGGACTTGGACCATCTTCCACTGCTTTCTCAGGACATAGCAGAGAGCTGGATTGGAAGTGGAGCAGCTGGGACTAGAACCAGTGCCCATATGAAATGCTGGTGCCACAAGCCAGGGCTTTAGCCTGCTTTGCTACAGTGCCAGCCCCAATAAATAAATTTTGATTTTGAAAAATGTTCTCTGTTTTAACCAATGATTCAATGTCACTAGAACTCAAGGAAACACAGGCAAATCTTTTGATAAAAAGTTATACAAGATGAAGTAGACAAAATGGGTTTCTTTTTTCCTAAAAATTATAGATCAGTAACAGTGAAAAGACATGTAAGTACACATAAAAAAAAAAACACAATAAAATACGTGGAGCTTAAAATTAGGAAAATCATGGCAAACCCTGAGTTTGGTTAAGTCACATTTAGTTAGACAGCCAAATTTATACTTATTAATACCAGGCAGAAGGATAAGCCAAAAAAAGGAATATTGGCTCACCATGTCCATGCATTCCCTGTCCCCCACCTCAACAGCTTTTCCATACAGGTTTCTGTAACTATGATTGTTTTAGTTACTACCTAGTACAAATTTGGAAGGTAGAGGTGATTACAACATGGATAATTCAAAGGAATGTCACAGAAGTGCTGACACAACACTAAGCAATAAGGAAGTCAATATAATAATAGACCCAAAGTTGAGGGATGTTTTACAGCTAGTCTGTTTTCACCATATGTCGCATATTGTAATAGCGACCCACAGGTCATAATATATAGTTACAACATGTGTTCATAAGTCAGAGGGTTAGTGAAACCGCTGTTTAAGGTGAGTGCTTATGTCAGTCATCTTTAAAGGCCTCAAATGCCACACGGTCAAGAAAGAAATCTGACAGTGCCAACAAAAGCAGAAGTCAGCAAGAAAACTAAAGAAACATTTGAGGAAGCAGGAGTCATACTTTTCACAGAGAATCTGAACAAGACTGCTTGCTGACACTCTTATTTTTCCTCTGGACAACTGTGAACTATTTTTTTCCCATTAAGAAGTCAACTGATGATGAAGTCCACTTCCTTCTCTCCCAGCTTGTCTATCAGTTTACCCTCTTGAGAAGAGCAGTGCTGAAAAAGCATGTACAGGCTGTTATAGTCTTGTTCCGTAACATCAAAAACAATCTTTTATGAAAGAGAGGAGGGGCAGTGAGTGAAACTTTTTAAAAATATCTGCCCTCAAAGGGTATGCGACCCAACTCCTTACATTCCTAAAAATCTACTTTATGCTAAATTAAAGATCCAAGATAGTGTACAGAAATATTCTTTTTGGTGCATTTCCTCCCTGATATGAGTGGGTGTAACTTCCATTAACTTTAAAGCCACCCATAAAGGGAAAAATAGACATAATTTTTTTTCCCAGTGATTTCTCAGGGGTAATAAACACACACTATCAGAGGAAAAGAATGATGCTAATTCAAGAAATCAAAAGAATATTACAAATGTTTTCCATATTGATAAAGCATAAAATGATTTTATTTTTGTTTTCAAAACATACTTCCCTTCCCTGTTTCAATATAAAATAACATATTTTAATTTTATTATGAAATTTTAAAATGGTTGCTTTTTTATGAGACATTTGACGTGAAGCAGTTCCACTCTATTTTGATAGCACTGCTACTACTTCACAATTGGAGCAGCTTGTAAAAATGATTGCAGGAAAACATTTACAAAACGCTCAAAACACAGAATTATTACCATAGAGCTGCTTTTCTGTGTCAACTAAACTACGAAACATACTTGCAAGAGTTAGGGGTCTCTTTAAACACATTATCAATCCCCATTGTTAATAACAGTTAATAGAGGGGAGTAGAAGGTATCCAGCCACTGCCAAATTGATTCTATTTGACAGTTGCAGTTATGTGAACAGGATCCAATGGCAAACCTGTTTCAGAGTTGTTATTAACTTCTTTCATTAACTATGCTTCAGGAGATACACTTTCTTGAAGTCACAATAGAGAGGGACATCACCTTTGAAATGTCATGGTATTTTAAGGCTGTGCTATTTCAAAAGACTCAATGAGGGGAAAAAAAAAAACACCACCTAACAATTCATTTTCCGCAGTTTTCTTTGTCTTACAAACAACCAGGAAAAAAAGGAACACAACCTCTTTCTATGTTATGCTTTCATTTTGGTTTATTCCTCTGTAAATTTTTATTTTTATTTTAGCTGAATACAGTTAAAACGGCTGGTAAATAAGAGTAACCTCATTTTTTTTCTAAAAGTATGCCTTGAACAACAGACCATAGGCTCTAAGGTTGAAGGGCTTACCAACTCTTTCTGAATGCTGTGAAAAATACAGTTAATCGATTCAATATGTAATTAGATTGCTACATATATGTATGCCATAAAAGGATTAACTGTGACCTTATATATACTGCAGATGCATGAGTAATGACTGCTGGGGAAGGTATGTTTAAACATTTGGGGGCCGGTGTTGTGGCGCAGCTGGTAAAGCTGTCACCTGCAAGACCAGAATTACACATGGGCATCAGCTCACATCCTGGCTGCTCCACTTCTGATCCAGCTCCCTGCTAATAGCCAGGCAAAAGTAGCCAAAGATGGCCCAAGTGCCTGAGCCCCTGTTACCCATGTGGGAGATCGGGAAGAAGCTCCTAGTTCCTAACTCCAGGCCATTGCACTCATCTAGAGAGTGAAGCAGCAGATGGAAGATTTTCTCTCTCTCTCTCTCTCTCTCTCTCTCTCTCTCTCTCTCCTTTCCTCTCCCTCTCCTTCTCTATCTGTAACTTTAAAACAAAATGTCTGAACCTACATAAAGGTCTTTTTTTAAATAAGTATATAGCAGGTCTCCAGATTCAAAAGATAACCACCTATAATGAAAAGGGTAAAAGAACCCAATGGAATGAATCAATCTATACCTACCATGAAAGAATCTGATTGTATCCATACTGGAAATCCCTCTCCTGATGTTTCTTGACAGGATATACCAATTGGTTCTCATGGAAATACAGAATCTTTTTCAATTTTCCAAGGTCAGGCCGAAGGGCAGCCAGTTCGGTCAGGTTAAGTACTGAGCTTGCAAAGAGGATCCTAGGAAAGAAGGAAATTAGGGTTTACTGTTCCATGTACACTTGAGGGGGATCACCCCTTCCCCTTCTTCTTTCCTCTTTCCTTTTCACACCCCAAGAAAAACACCACCCCTGTAGGGACATATCAGTCGTTGTGCCTTAATACCATGTAGTAGCATTCTAAGTTTTGATCTCTTAAAAAGCAGCTGCTAAGAACTATAAAAGCCCTGAATCACATTGGTCTTCTCAGTTACTGAAAGATACAAAGAAAAAAAAGCAAGCAAGCAAGCAGCAAGCCTGGATAGATTTTATTGAAAAAGGCAAGAAAAGCTCTATCTGAAGGACAAATGGAACAAAGATAAGACTGACTGGGGAATACTTTGCTTGCCAGTTTCATTACACGTTACTTCTTTATGCAACCAACTACTGAAATTCAATATATGAGCAGGAATGGCACATGTTCATGCTATGACACAAACCCTTTTGATTTATGCAATAGACTTACCTACTGCAGTCGATTTTTCTGGGTATGTTTTCTCACACCCCCCTTTAAAGTATCCTACACTATTGCATTTTTTTTAAAAAAAATTCTCCAATACTGGACTAATTGGCACCAGATATGCAATCTGTAGAATTCCTTATATAAAACACACAACTATAATACATTGATTATATATTAATGAGAGGGTAATTTCTCATCTTTGGGGGGTAGGAGGAGGAAGAAGCTAAAAGCCTACCTACCCATATTTATAAATAAAAACAAGGGTCTGTGTACTGTCTCACTCCACAAACATATTAAATGTGTACTATTTGCCAGGATCTAACCAGGAACAGCAAAAAATATGAATAAGAGCTCAATAAGATAGATGAAGGCTACCTTTTAATAGAGACATATACAAACTATTAGAAGAACAAACACAAAGGAGTAATAATTATCTGGGACAACCCAGAAATGCTTTGCTAATGAGGTGCCTGCCACATATGAACACAAAAGAGGGGCAAAGTACAGTCCCTGAACCGCTGAGAACATTTAACTGGCACAATTTTGATACAATGCCATCTTTACAACACAACGTAGCATCATTTGACTCTTACAGCTTTCATTCCCATTCCAAAAAAATGAGGTTCAAGAAGGTTAAGAGTTTTTCTAGGATCACACTGGTGGAAAAGTGGAAAAGGAGCAACGGCTGGTCTTCTAAACCCAAAGTACTTTTCATTACACCACAGACATGAATTGGTTGTGGACCACTTACATTGCAAATGCTTTCTTCTGTACTTAATAAATACAAAATATCATCCTTGTTATTACCATGATTACAACCACTATAAATCCTCCCTTACTGACAAGCCAAATGGCTAACTTCAGGTGTTTATATGATCTGCAGCACTAGCCTTTCACATAGGAAGAATGATGACATAATAAGTGCATATATCATAACTAGGAATTCAAGTGCTTTCTTCATGGGCTAAAGGAGGCACATAAGACCAAAAGCTAGTGATCCCTCTTTAAAGCCACACTGCTTTATTAGTATTATGGGTTATCTCTGTAAAGAAAAAAAATCTTACCAAGAAGGTCCATTTATTTTTTTTCTTTTTTTTTAACTTTTATTTAATGAATATAAATTTCCAAAGTACACCTTATGGATTACAATGGCTTCCCCCGCAATAACGTCCCTCCCACCCGTAACCCTCCCCTTTCCCACTCCCTCTCCTCTTCCATTCACATCAAGATTCATTTTCAATTCTCTTTATATACAGAAGATCAGTTTAGCATACGTTAAGTAAAGATTTCAACAGTTTGCTCCCACACAGAAACATAAAGTGAAAAATACTGTTTGAGTACTAGTTATAGCATTAAATCTCAATGTACAGCACACTACGGACAGAGATCCTACATGAGGAGTAAGTGCATTTATTTTTTTTAAATTATCTATCCACACCCAACTAAAGCAAAGAGAAAAATTACGATCAGATCATGCCCTGTTGTGTATAGTGCCCCCACCAAGTCTAGAATTCAAATTGAAAATTCTAAAATATGAAGATATTCAGTTATCTACAAATTGTGTCCATAGCAGAGAAAACAAAATATTAACTTCAATTTATCAATATTTTCCTTAAGAGAGAATGAATGGATGATAACTTGCGGCCCACCTTATCCAAAAATTATCTGTTCTCCCTCACCCCATCATCATGCACACTGCTGCAAGCAATGACTCAGATTCTTAATCATTAAGATTCTTAATCAAATACACTTTTTCACACACAAGGCAAAAAAAATGCATTAAGTGCATCCCCCATATATCTCATAAATTATATAGAAAAAGGTACCTTTGCAAAAGAAATCTGTGAGATGACAACTTAACAAATGATCAAACTTAATACAACCAATAAAGGACACAGTGATATCATGTATTTCCGAATGCACTGAGAAAGATACAACTCTCCAATGTAGTATTCCTGCCAAAAATGCCTGATCTGAATTTGGTCATGAGGAAATAATCAAACAAATATTTTGCAAAAGAATTCGGCTGTATCTCCAACAAATGTCAGTGTCATTAAACAAAAAACCTAGATTAAAGGAAAATAAAGAGACCCTGAAACAAAATCCAATGTATGATCTTTGACTGGATACTGGAACAAGAAAAAACAGCTATAAAAGGCATTAAAGCAATAGGAAAATTTTCAAATGGATTGAATAAACAATTATAAATGTTTATCAATCTTAAATATTTTAATATAAAAATGCTATTGTACCCTTATTATTAGGAGACTCCTGTCAAATTATTTATATGTGAAGTGTCACGATGTCTCCAACTAATTCTTAAATGGTTTGGTGAAAATGCTACTAATAGCAATAGCTATTCCTAGGTACTTATTTTCACATACATAAATATAAATGCACAAAACATGAGCAACTAATTAACTTCAGTAACAGGTATATAGTAATTCATCATTCTAGTGCAATTTTTGGTATTATATTTTTACAGTACCACAAATTTGGGGAAATATGCAGTAAGAGTCTTTATGTGGAAGGCAAAAAGTACTCTTCATTCCACACATGATAAACCCATCATATATGTTTCTCTAGATGTAACTTAACTACTAATTTCCTATTAGCCAATGTTTAAAAAGGTGAGCCCTTCATTTCACTTTTATCAAAAGCCCCTCTCCTATCCTTCCCACCAACGGACCCACAATTAACAAAACCATACCTAAAGTTGAGTTTCCAAAGACAAACTTCCAAATAAAACAATGCAATTCATTCAGAAGAGAAATGACAATGATTTTCAACATATTAGCCATTTGAGACTGCCCATATCAATACTTCCTCCACTTTGTTGAGTGGTTGAAAGGAAATTAATTGTATTTTCATAATAAATCTTGAAACAGTACTTATATTTCTAAATAGTAGAAATTACTTCTATTATTAGTAAAACATTTCTCTATTTTTTTTTCTCTTGCAAAATGGTAGTTAAACAGAGCAAGAAGCCATCCCTTATATATGCAGCTCAGAACTATCTGCTCAGAAGTCATGAATATGCCCACCAAAGGGCTAAACCTATGTTCCATAAAAACAGGCAATTTCTACTGTATCCACTACCATCAACTTCTTTTTTTTTTTTTTTTTTATTTTGGGTAATCTTCAGACTTTATAAAGCAAAATCAAAGCAACTACATTTGATTAGCTTGTCACTCAAGAGTTTCTCTCCAAGCATAGCATTGATACCACATTTTTCTGATCACAAATCCAATTTGGGATTCTGCCACATCTATAGATTCTGATCTTCTTGTTACCTGATGTCACTGATTACTTGACTTTCTTTTTTCTTTTTTTTTTTTTCTTTTTTTTTAAAATTTATTTAATAAGCATAAATTTCCAAAGTACAGCTTATGGACCACAATAGCCTCCTCCCCCCACCCCGTGTCTTCCCTCCCATCCACAACGCTCCCCTCTCCCACTCCCTCTTCCCTTCCCCTTCACATCACAATTAATTTTCAATTATCTTTATATACAGAAGATCAATTTAGCGTATGTTAAGTAAAGATTACCACATTTTGCTCCCACACAGAAACATAAAGTGTAAAATACTATTTGAGTACTAGTTATAGCATTAATTAAACACCTAAGAGTAATTGTGTATTAATTACAGAGCTCAACCAATAGTTTTAAGTGGAATATAAAACGCATCTTTTGCATTGTTGTGACTTCCCCCCAACCTCCCTCCCTCCCGTGGCCCTCCCCTCACCCACTTCCTCTCCCCTCTCCCCCCTTCATCATGTTTCATTTTCAGTTACCTTCATATACCGAAGATCAATTTAGTATATACTAAGCAGGGATTTCAACAGGTTGCACTCACACAACCGAACCAGGTATAGGGTATTGTTTGACTAGTAGTGTTGTTTTTGAGTTTCATAGATAAACATATTAAGGACAGAGATCCTGCGAAGGGAGCATGAACCCAGTGACTCCCGTTGTTGATTTAACAATTGGCACTCTTATTTATGACGTCAGCAATCACCCGAGACTCTTGCTATGAGCTGTCTAGGCTACGGAGGCCCCTTGATTTCACCAACTCTGAATTTGTTTAGTCAAGGCCATATCACAGTGGAGGTTCCTTCCTCCCTTCAGAGAAAGGCGCCTCTCTCCTTGATGGCCTGATCCTTCTGCTGGAGTGTTGTTCGCCAAGATCCTTCATTTAGATTGTTTTTTGCCACCGTGTCATGGCTTTCCATGCCTGCGAGACTCTCATGGACCTTTTAGTCAGATCCGAATGTCCCAAGGGTTGATTCTGAGGCAGGAGTGCTGTTTTGGGCATTTGCCATTCTATGAGTCTGCTGTGTGACCTGCTTCCCCCGCAGGATCATTCTCAACCCTTTTGATTCTATCTTTCATTATTTGCTTACACTGGTCTTATTTGTGTACTCTCTTCGACACCCTATCTTTTGGATCAGCTGTGTATTTATATTTGTCTCTTTGCCAAGTGTGCTGGCATTGGAACCTGCCTCCTTGGTAAGATTGAG